CTGCTGGAAAAAAACTTAAGAAGTTTAATCGTCTTCTCTAAAGATTGGGTGAGTTTGAAGGACTTACAATGTAAAGAGGAAGATGATATACATGAAACATTTTGATGAGAGAATTAACCTAAAAATATTAAAGTCATTTAAGATGAATGCTTTGTATAACTTAAAATAATAACTTTTGGAAAATGTGTTAAAATAAAAAATACTAACTATTTTAATATTTTTTAAAACTAATATGGTAAAAAGAAGAAAGCTGATGTGTCAGTTTTGTCACTCTTTATATAACAGGTTTTCTTTTATTCCATATGAGTTATTATATTACCAGTAAATGCTACAAAAAGTTCAATTTTAGTGTACTCTGACCAGTGGTGGAACTACATGGAGCTGTGGGGGGTCAATCGACCCAGGTCAAATTACAAAAATTAGAACTTAAACTTACTAATGCGTATCGCCGAAAGAATTGATTGAAAATTCTTTGATTGACCCCTTAATTTCATGTTTGATGCCTTCCTTGACCCCGGTTAAAAAAATTATGTAGCTCCGCCACTGACTCTGACATTTTGACAAGGCAGAGGGAAGGTCATAGACCCATTGCCCATGGAAAAGGTATTTGAACAGAGAAAAGGAAATATTTTGGACATCTTGGGTCATTTATCATCACTGTAACACCATTTGTCTCTAGTACATACAAAATACTAAGAAAGGTGGTTCTGACTTTTATCTAAGCCAACAGACCAGTCCGAAAAATTGAGGGATTGGATATGAATTATCCTAAAGATCAGAAAGTACTAATAATTATCCAATAATCGTACTTGTCCGATATTTTTCCATGTGTTACAAAATGCCAACATAAAGAGTTTTTTTTGTTTTTTTCTTCTGGTTAAAATTAAAGACTCTTCTTTGTAATTTTTACTTATCCCTAATATCCTAGATGAACGAAACATCTATTGGTTCAATAAAGTATTTAGTCATATTCATATTGTAACATCCCGATTCCTGATATATATGGAAAGGCTTATAAGAATTGATTTGACTACCTATGTCAACAAAGTGCACTTATCTTTTCCGGTCAAGTGCTGAGAGAACTCTAGAGTTAAGCGTGCTTAAGCTGGAGCAGTCTCAAGATAGGTGACATATTGGGAAGTAGTCTGCGGTACCGTGCGAGTGAGGACAAAGCACGGGGAAAGATCATGTGGTGATTGTAGGGACAGTAGACAAGTCTTACAAGCTTTCCAAACTAATGACTCCCGACCGTCGGAAAGTGGTGGGCCAACGGGCCTAGAGAAGGCGTTGGGCCAACGAGCCTAGAGAGAGTAAGTTGGGCCCACAAGCCTAGAGAGGACGTTGGGCTCACTGGGAAAGACGTTTGGGGGCGTTAGGATTGATACCGCCGGTCCGCATCTGGTTCTCAAAGAGAAGGTGGGATCGGGGTGTCACAAGTGGTATCATAGCCGACACCTAATTACGTGTGTGGAGTCGTGTGGACTCACACCATCTAGGTGAACGATCCTGGTGTGCGAGCACTCTGTGAGTAGAGGAAGAATTCAGGGATGAATTCATTGAAAGTCTGGGAGAGTTGTAACATCCCGATTCCTGGTATATATGGAAAAGCTTATAAGAATTGATTTGGCTAACTATGTTAACAAAATGCACTTATCTTTTCCGATCAAGTGTGCTGAGAGAACTTTAGAGTTAAGCGTGCTTAAACTGGAGTAGTCTCAGGATGGGTGACCTACTGGGAAGTAGTATGCGGTACCGTGCGAGTGAGGAAAGATCACGGGGAAAGATCATGTGGTGATTGTAGGGACAGTAGAAAAGTCTTACAAGCTTTCCATACTAACGACTCCCGACCGTCGGACAGTGGTGGACTAACGGGCCTAGAGAAGGCGTCGGGCCAACGGGCCTAGAGAGAGGATATTGGGCCCACAGACCTAAGAGGGCGTTGGGCTCGCTAGAAAGGACGGTTGGGGAGAGTTAAATTTGATACCACCGGTCCGCGTATGGTTCCCAAAGAGAAGGTGGGATCGGGGTGTCACAAGAATTATAACAACTCGACCTCTCGGACTCGGATGTTATTAAAATCAATTTTTAGTTTATTTAAATTTAACCATCTTTTCTAATTAAGCCTATTTTTAATCTTTTTTTGATTTCCTGCGAGCCCATTAAACCCAACCCAAACTAAATTAATCTAAATATAAATACTCTGATCGCTCTTTAAGCTTTCTAAAACCCTAATCTCTCCTCTTTCTCTCTTTTTCGTCACCAGCTCTTTCTAAACCGCCATCAACTACCAAGGCAGTTTCCCGGTGATCCGTTAAGATCTACGAAACGCACAGCATATCTAATCGAAGCCCGGAGGTTAGCTTTCCAATAAGACCAATCTCGCCCTGATCTGTGGTCGGAGCCGAGAATTATCGTTAACCGCGTGTCGGGTATTCTGATCCATTCTCTCTCTCTTTCTCTTTCTCATGCTTGCTCTGATCTCTTCTCTCTGTCCTTTCAGTCAAACTTCTTCTTCATTCTAAGATTTCTGCGCCTCTATTTCCTCCTCCCCTCGAATCTGGATCCAGCGAAGCTCTCCCTCCCCTATGCCATCTCCTACTTCCATTGTGCGGCCTTCTATGTCAAGGTGAGGACTTCGTGCTTCACCCTCTCTTGCATTCTTGTTCATGGTAGCTAGTATTTTCTTAGGTAAAGTACTATATCTGTGTGTTAAAGTTTTAGATTGCTAGAACTTGGAAGCTTGTTGATTGTGAGTTGATGATTGAAGGTTCTACGACACACAGCATAGATTATTCACGAATGCAAATATCTAATCTCAACTTCTACTTA